TAAATAACTTTATTATCAATGGATTATGTACTTTTTAATTAATGGGTAATATAAAAAACACTGATCTCACATTTGTGATCACATCAGGAATTTCTAAATAGGATTATGTGTTTTATCCTCAGAGACTGGGAGTTTCCAAATTGACTCAAGTTGTTGGGAGTCAATTTAATATTCTTATTAATCTCTCATAGCCAAAACTCTAACATGTATCCCCCCAATCTTATGAATCAACACAATAAATTAAAAGATGAACTCCAATATTTAACCTTGGCCCACCCTGTAGAACTCTGAGACAGTGCTAGATTCCTATCCAAGGTGCAAGGTTCAAGCCAAAAGCAAAGAAAACTAAATACACCTGGGAAGTGGTGGGCTGTCCACAGTTAGTACTGAGTCAGGAGTTTCCTAGCAATGAAAAGGGCTTTGTTATCATAAAACTAACTTTATATTCCTATAAAATCATGCTGATTTCCAATATGTTTTCATGTGTTTCCTATTTATTTACAAATAATGGAGCCTATTTGGGTTTTTCCCTTCCTACTTGAATGAACTTTCTCTTTCCCTTTGAATTCTTTGATTTACTCTCATTTTCCCCCAATAAATACAAGTGGTATTTATCAGCCTTCTATTCCCAATATATATTGTACTCTGAAAATTCTACTTCTATTTGATCCCATATAGTCTCCAAAATGATCATGCCAATTCTCATTCCACTCCCTGAGCCTGAAGAAGCTCTTTTGTTCAGTGTGCCAAATATCCTCATTTGTCCTAAATATTCTTCTCATGGTTCATTTCAGTGCAGGTGTCCAAGGATGGCCTCAAACACTGTTCTAAGGAATCCAGCTAAAACATTTCAATAAAGTAAGATTGTTTATGTCTCACTTTTATTTTTAGTTACTTAGCCATGTTTATTATGTTCCACTTCACTGAATGTATTCTTTTCATGATCTGAGGCAGCTATCTATAAGATAAGAAGGAAATAGAGAATAAAATCTGGATCAAAACAACATCAGTTTTTAACTATGTGATCCAAGAAAATAGGGACTTAATTATGCTGTGCTGCTCCTAACTCCCACCCTTCTTGATCTTCCTCAACACCACAAAACTATCCCTCTCTTCCCTTCTCTGTAGACAGGAAATTTTATGACATAATTTAACAGATGAACAGAAAGCCAAGGAGTAGTTTAGATTGATAAGCAGGAATCCACCTCTTGGGACATAGGGCCAGCAGACATTTCTAATTTGTCCCAATTTGAGAACTCCAGTCATGTCCTAAATCTGACAGACTCCATCCACAGAACAAGTGCTGAACCAGCAAGAGTGAGGGCATCCCTAGAATTTCCTAATCTGGGTCAATTTCACAATCGTGCAATAGAATTGTTCGCAATCATAGACTCCTCTTCTAACTCTGAAGACTTCAACATGGCTTAGAGGACATTATCAAGAAAATGATAAATGACCTGAGCTATTGACAAAAGCACATGTGATACCTGGTGTCAGATAAAGTTTTTTCTCCATCATATTTTTATTCCACACCTTTGGCCACATTGCTTAACCTGAGCAGATAAATGCAACTTTCTTGTACCTCTCATAGGGCCTACTGAAATTAGATAATTTATGTAAAGCTACTAACAGGGTTTACCATGGTAAGGTCTCCATGAATGCTTACTCTTTCTCACCCTAAAGAAAGAAGAACATTGGAGGTAAAGGAAACACCACCTGCTATGGAATCTAGCCCATAGCAGTAATGAGGTGCAATGATAAAACTGAGGTTTGGATCACAACCCCTCTATCTACCAGTGTGAGCCTCTATTACTTCTCTGTACAAATGCAAATAACACCTACTCTCCCACAAGGACATTGTGAGGATTAAATAATCTAATGAAAACAAAAGTGCCTGTTAAGTAGTCAGTTACAGAGGATACATTCATAGCATTGGAAAGCATCTTTGATACTATTTGTCTTTATTATTCATCTTCTCCCATCCCCCATTGCATCTGTTATTCGATTGCTCTCTGCACCAGCCCAACAAGGTGGTCCTCTTGTGCACTGTATCTTCTCCAGAAAGTATCCCCAACCCCATTTGACTCTGTGCTGAGCTGCATGATCAAGTCTTAGACATGATTCTCTCCTGTCATTTACTGCAAGTAATAACATCCTTCCCAGACTGAGCTTACCAAGGAGTCCCTGCAGCCCCTCCCCAAAACCAGGAGACCTCCACTGTCCATTAAGTGGAGTTGAACTCTGCTCCTTCATCTCCTCATGAGGCAGTTCATTCCACTTGTAGATGATGAATTTGAGAAATCAAATATAGTACTATGGAGGAGGATGTGGGTAAACTCATCACTTAGGGTGTTGCAAAATCCTAGGTTGATTAATAAGGAGATGGCAATGTATGGTCATGTATTGCCTTCTAATTATTTCAGGTATGTTAATCTTATAAACATGTTGTCCTAAGATTGAGACTTAATAAATTTACTTTCAGAGAATACTGAGCTATCCTCAGAGAAATAATTAACTATCTGGTCAGGAATGTTCATCTCAATATTATTTCTAATAGCAAAGCATTGAAAACAATTGAAATGGCCAATATCCAAATACATTTCTAACCATATAATCAAATAGGAATGTTATAATACATGATGGTATAACTAAAAAAATACACCTATGCAGACATTATAAACTTTCAAAGGAATATCTACTAACATGTGAAAGATGTTTCTAAAATACTAACTGAACCAAAAAAAAAAAAAACAAGTTTCAAAACAGCAAGTAGAATGTAATAGATTTTTTATGAAAGAAAAACTTGTACATAAGATCTGGAAGGATTTATAACTTGTTAAAAAAACATTTGTGGCAGGATTGTGATGGTATAATTCTCTCCATTTTCTTTTTTTTTGGTACCGGGAATCGAACTTGGGAACTTGTGCTTGCAGGGCAGGCAGATTCTCTCCATTTTCTACCATAAATATATATTGCTCTAGTGGTTAAAAAATGAAATCCAATTGGTTTATAGCAATTGAGTGGCAGGCTCTGGTTGATGATTGTTTTAAACCTCTGATCTAACTAACTCCTACATCCTTAATCTAACTTACTCTATAATTATTGCCTCAAATTCCAAAATTCCAGACACAATGAATTCTATTTGAAGTTTTGAGATTCCCTAGGCTCTCACATATTTATAAGTGCATCTCTCTAGAGTATGTTTTCCCTATTCTCAGTCCTTCCACGTCCCACTCCCACTTCAAAAGTCAGCTCAGATACCACCACCTCCAGGAAGTCTTCCCTGGCTTCTTCTTTCTCCCCAGCCTTGGGCACTGTTTCCACAATTGACCTCTATCAAGACCTTACTCATATCTTATTGCATTTGTTAAATATCTAGATTGCAGGTGCTTCAAAGCCATTGTTTAGGACTTTTATCTCTGCATCCTCAGATCCTACCAAGGTATCTGGGACAGAATCAGTAATAAACAGATCTGAAGAAATAAGGGCTCATGGTAAGAACTAGATCAAAGGTCCTGGGACAGATGCAAACGTTTTTCTAGTCTATTTTATTTCTGAGACCTTGAGAGACAGGGAACTTTTATGCACATACCATTAAAAATAAATTAGAAGGAATTTGATATGGCAGCCTCTGAGAATACTGTATTGTTCTGAATAATACAATGTACTAATAATATAATTTGGGATATAAATCTCTGGTATATGATGTCCTTCATAATCTCAAACTAGATTTGATATATGGGGTCTAAAAATAGTAAAAAAAAAAAAAAAGCTAACCTCCAATCAGCTAGCATTCCCAAATGTCAGAAGACAAAGAAAATACTCTGAATTTTATAGTACATACAGATAATTCCTCCCTAGCTAACTTGTAAGCTTCCTGTCATTTGCTTCTTTGTATCTTTCATAGGATCCAAAACTAAGTTTCACACAACTAAACAGTAAGTGAAAGAAAACAGGTGGTGAACCTCCTGTCTGTTCCAGCTTTCTGCCTGGGGTCATGTTTCAGATATGGGTGAGGAAAATGAGGCTCAAGTAATACACTGAATATCACTGATCTGAGTAGGTAGAAGTCAGGGGTGAGGCCTACTGAGGTGGACCAACATCTTAAAGAGAAGAAAGCTGCACCAAAAAGGCCTGGAAGCCTGCCTGGTAATTTCCTGAAGATCCTTAGCTGTGAGTGCACAGGATAAGATTCTGTGAGGCTTAGCAAAGAGATGCAGCTATGTGTCAGAGAGAATACCAAAGGCTGTGCAAGGCTAGGAAGCAATGCAGTTCAGAGCAGCAAGAGCAGAGAAATATGGCTAAGCATTCAGG